TATATAATATATATTATATTATATTATATTATATATTATAGCTTACTCGATCTTACTATATAGCTGCGTGGCGATACATGGCTAATGAGAGTGAGTTAAGGATCTTAAAAAGCTTTGCTTTCCTTTCCTTTAATTATTCATGGTTAAGATACATTTTACAGATTAGACAAGCAAATCGCACGTTTCCAGCTACTTTCGCTCACCTCAAGAGGTATATTCTTCATCGCCCATACGGGCTGACACGTATTTCGTAATTTAAACCATGCGATAGATGGTCAAAACGAGGAGGGCCAATCAAATTCTATACTGATATAGTCTACTTCTTTTAAACATCTAGATGGACCAGCAATATATGGATTTAAACGATGCAAAAAGGAATGGCTTTTATTGCTGTGAGTAATAATATGGAACCGAACAGCTTGAAAACGTCTTATCCTTGTTAATGGAGCCAGTCTAACCAATAATAGTGATAGAAAAAGAAATATTGACGAAATAAATAAATAAAAAATCGCAATTTTTCAAAAGTTTTTTATGAAAAAATTTGCATTGAAATTAGTAAAAACCTTCCAGAATCCAATGAAATATTGGAAATCGGTCAAAATTCCCCAAAAACAAAGTAAAAGACCATAACCAAGAAATTGAACAAAGAATTTGTAATTATAATAATTAATGCACGTATTCACCCATGGACAATGATGGTCGAATTTTCTGGAAATAAAATATTTATACAATTTGTACAATATAACGTAATTTCCTGTGGAAAGCGAGGAGGAATATTAAAAAACGGACTTACAGAACACAGTGACCACATACAGAACAGTGATGACAACGATCAGGTTTTATACAACCACATTTGTAACAATAACGTATTGCTGAAAAAGTAATTAAATAAGCGATTACAAAACAAATATAACTAAATATATAACTAAATAAATACAGCAATGAGTACTATAAGTAAATAGGGGTTGCAATTAAATGATTTATTGAAATCAGAAGAGAAAAGAACAACTAAGTAAATAATATAAAAGAGAATAAGATATATAAAAGGCACCGTTCTAAGAATTTTTTAAAATATATGAATATAAATAAATAAAATATTAAATATTAAAAAATTTCGCATACAAAAATTTAGTTTAATAATGGATATGCAAAACTATTTATTACAATATTATAAACAAGAATGCTATAATATACATCTTTTCCGAAAACTCTGAACCACAATTTCTTAAGAAAAAAAGGAAATGCTGATTCTAAAAAAGAATCAGCATTATAAGATTGTAAATATCGATATACTTACATCCATCAAAATTACGATTTTCAACGATAATCTGTTGCTGATAAACGTAACGTTCAAGGATCATTCTAGATAAATTCTCTTCTGATGCACTTTCTAAATCACGGCGAACCTCACTGGTCAGAAAAAACTAAAAAAATCAAATATAATTAAGAAAACATTGATTAGTGATCTGGAATTTGGAAAAAATTACGCCATTCTACTTTCAGTTCAGAAACTGAAATAACCTCTTTTCTGGGACGACCAACTGGAGAGAAAATTGTCTGATAGTATGACCATAAGAATAAAATTAACAAAATATGAAAAATAATGAGATAAATAACGCGTTCAAACAAACATTCCACAGTATCTGAAAACATATAACATAAAAATAAAAATGCAAAATTTGAAAAAAATAAAACAAAACAAAAAATTTACTTAATTGATAATAAACAAGAAATTAAAAATAAAAAATGAAATAATAAATGGAAAACTTACAGAAACATAATTCTATAACATATGCATAATATGCCCAGCATATAACGATAAGAACAAAACCAACAGGTAGCCAACGAACAATCGATATACTCGAGCGTACACAAGCGTTATTCGCACAACTCATTACCTAAAAACTTCATTAAAATTTTAAAATATTACAGCAATATAAATAACCATTAACAACAAAAGCATATCCAAAATGAAACTTATAAAACAATAAAAATAAAAAATCAAAAACTAAAAAAAAATCAAATTAAATGTAGAAACCAAAACATAATTTAGAAATTTAAAAAAAAATAAAATAAAAGTAATTAAATAAACAACAATTAAACGAAGTTCAATTATAAATTGGCCTATAAACTTACTTACTAAATTATTTAAAATTTACTGTTAATTCCTTGAATTTCAAAAATTAAAATTAATAGAATTAAAAAATTCGAGTGAATAATAAGTGACTTATCGTATTGAGAAGTAAGATTGATTTCGATATAAGTAAATCTATAACTGAAAAATTCGGATGATGCTGGCTAATCACCTAATGCTGCGGGCTAATCATCTGTATTTCTACCGCTATTAAAGTGCTAGAATACCCAAAAATTTTAAAATTTCATTGAATGCAAAATAAGATTCAATATAATTAAAAAATGGATTTAAAAAATTTTTTTGAAAATTCATTTGAGTTCTCCTATCCTAGTTCTCCTAGTTCTCCTAGTTTTCCCATGTTTGAGTGCAGAAATAAATCCGTTTAAAGTCCGGCTGAAGCAAATTGGTGACCCATTTGTATTTCTATCACCGAATTACTCCACATTTGAATTCGTTCGGTCCGACGAGCCAGCGGAGCGAATTTAATCAAAAATAATAAAAAGAAGATTTAATTTATAATTTCGCAAGTTCTAAAATTTTCCACCTTTTAGAAAAAAAATTAAAAAATAACCTTTTGAAGGTATAAGCAATATTAATGATCGTCACAAAGCAAACATCTCAGTCCATCCATCTAGATGAAAAAAAATTCCAAGTTAGTGGCTCGAAGATAAATGGGGTCGCGGCCGGAAGCAGTAAATGTGCGGTTCCAATTTTAATAGGCTTAATTTTTTTTCGAAGAAATTGTCTAAGTCAAATTTTTCGTGTTATTTCTTATTTTCGATATTTATATTGGCAATTTCGCGAGTTTCAAGTACCCACGAGTTGCGCGTAGCAGATTAGTTCCTGGATTTGTTTAAGACAGACGGTATCTATGAGCGATTAACTGAAAATATGAGGACTACACGAAGAACGGTGCTAATTGGACATTGGATACGAATATTTATTTACGAATTCGCGTCGATGCTCGATGAATGAATGTGTTGCCTGGTCAGAAATAGGCATGAATTTTTGAAACGACGAGACCTGCTCTCGTAGCAGTGATACCATGGGAAAGCCAAGTGACCAATGTGGATAAAAATTTTGAGTTCAGACCAAATGTGAATCGAGAATATATTAGATGGCTGGTTTCGCGGATTCCGGACCACTTTTGGAAATTATAAGGGAGATGCGTACGCACCATCCATATCTAAGACCATTAACAGATGGAATGCCAAGTACTGGAGAAGTAGTGATTTTGAACGCCGCAATCCCCCTAGAAGCTAAGGCATACTGATCAAGCTAATCAAAAATTCTGGCGGAATAATTCGATTGGTGAAGTTGAGATTGGCAAACGGACGAGCCGTCAACTAGATCTATTAATTGCACTGAACATAGCATTAGCAAACGCACTAGCCCTCGGCAACCTCGCTTGAAGTAGAAGCTTGAAGTATTCTGGCATAAAGTGCGAAGGCGATGAGGATGACGATGTTATGAGGATGTACTTATTGTGTTACACTGTATATTTGTAATATACTTTTTTAGTTTATTTGTAATACGATTTTGTTTTTGTTTTTCTTGTATGCATTCACGTCTGTTAGAGATTTAATTGTCTAGTTTGAGGATATCGCGATTACAATATGTTGCGAAAACCTTTTTTGACGGAACGAAGGTTATGGTGGAAGTCGGAAACGTGAAATAGGGATAAACAACTGTCCAAGCACAGAACCAAGAGCACCTGATTACGACTGCATTTACTGCACATGCGAAACGACGAAACAAATTTTCCTTAGCCTTGTTTGTTCATCTCGGTAATAATGAAACTAGTACTATTAATAATAATAATAAAAATAGAAAAATTTTTCAGTTTTTCGATTCCCTATTTAAGCATTTATGAGTTTTAGCGAAAAAAGCAATGTTCCGCTGAAGAATAAAACATTAGTCGCGAATTTAAGTGAACTTTTCTTGGCAACGAATTTCTTTCCTTTTTTATGGATACGCTTATTTATTAATATAATAAGGCTTTTGAAATTATTTATTTTAATTCATTTTATTAATCGAAATTTTGATCGACCAATAGGATTATTAAATTATTTGTTGCTTATTGTATTAATGCAAGCCAAAAAAAGTAATCGAATTTCCAGATGCGTTGAAGCGTTAAACTGTAATTTTGATGAGTAAAACGAAGTAAAAATGAAGTAAAATGAGTGGAGAAAAAATTTTAAACGACCATAAATCATATTTTCTTAATGATCTTAAAATGAAATTATTATTTAATATATATCTTCTTCACTGTCTTTTTCATAAATTAGTCCACAAAAACGAAAATTAGTATCGCCTTCAGCGGATTTTAGTTAGCAGTTCAAACCAAATTCCAAATTTTTTATAGCTTTCAGCTCATTTATCAATTTAATCACTAATTCGTCGCCTTTCAGTGCTAATCTTTCTTCTTTTCCAAAAATTATTCTTTGGTGTTCGCCATTTCTTATTAAAACACATGAACGTATACAATATAAATGGCTGATAGAAGGGAAATCACGATTTTCAGTTGTCGAATTATAAATATTCGCGTTACAAATATAAATTTTGTCGCAAAAATTCATCGAATTTCAGTTTTTTTATACATAAAATTTTAATAATTTTAAGTAAAATTTTCATTAGATAATTTATGAATTCATGAATTTCTAATTAGTTAGTTTTTAATTAGTTATCGTTGGCTTTTAGCATTTGTTGAAAATATTTTTTCCTTTGTTCCCTCAAAAACGGTTCGTTATTCATCGAAGCTATTCATTACGACGATTGACGACGGATTTAATCACAGTGGATTTATGCGTGGTAATTATTGCATGAAAAGATAGGTATAAAATGAGGGGAAAACTAAAATTTATAGTAACAAAGACAACGAAGGAACTATGTTTGGAAAGCAGCTTCGAATTAGATCGGGCGAATAGCACGAGAAAAAAGGAGATTTATAAAAAACATTAAAGTCATGGCGAACAAAGGCTAGCAAGCCGGGAATGTATTGATTGTTGGCGATGTTGTTAGCGATGCCTGAAGGATTTAATCCAGTTGAAACTTCTGCTCCCTTCCAAATAGTAATTTTTCTTCGTCGATTATCAGATTGAAAATATTTATAGGCGAATTTATATTAATTTTCTTTTCCTTTTTTTCTTCCAAAAATTTATTAAAATTTATTTCGCATTTTTTTTGAAAATTTTCGTGAGCGAATTGTTTTTTTTTAAGTTAGCAATATCTGAATAACACTATTAGAGATTTTGCCAGAGCCCACCTGGCGATGCAGTTGCTTGCAGTCGTTTATTTTTTGAAAAAGTGCTGCCATCGGGGGGAAAGTGCCACATCCTCGTCCATCAACACGATAAGCTGAGTCAGTTCGGTTATTGTCTTTAAAAGTGGCGCAATTTATTAAATTTCTAGCATTAATGAAATTTTAGAAATTATGGCTTTCTGGAAATTATTTAATTTACTGAAATTTATCTAATAATGCGAAAATTTTTAAAGAAACAACGATGAGTTAATCCTTTTCGCACGAATTTAATCGACAAACGGCATAAATTGTTGTGATGTTTTCGAAAATGATTTTATATTTGTATCCATGTTTTCGTTAAACTTTCTTGTAATCAGTGTCTGCTTTGCAAGCAGTTTGTTTAGACTTTAATTTAAAACTATATAACAATTTCTTTCTATAAAAAATAATTAGTGCAAATTAGAAGATTAGAAAAATAAATGGCAAGAAATCATTTTTTTAGTCGGACTTGTTTCAGTGGCTGGTAAGATGAGATAATCTTGCCGAAGAATTAGTTGAGATGGAAGTACTGACGGATCACCAGTATCACCAAGATTTTTTAATGGCCTCTTACCATATCGAAACTAGATTCCGAACCTTCTTCTTTTTCTTCTAACAGCTTTCACCATTACTGGTTAGGCTGGCTTCAACGGCTACAAGGGTAAGACGCTTCCAAGCGGCGCGGTCTGATATCGTCGACAGTAATAGAAACCATTCCTTTTTCCATCGTCTAAGTCCATATATTGCTCGTTCGAAATCTTTTCTTACCGTATCAGGTCTTGATTGGCCCACTTCGCTTTTGACCATCATCACAGGGTTTAGCAAATAACGAAATAAGCGTCAACTCCTGTGGTGGACGACGGAGAATGTGTTCTAACCAGCGAAAGCGGCGCTCTGTGAGAACATTATTTTTGCAAGTGGTATCTGAACGAAGATGGATGCGATCATGTGATATTTTATCCGCTCGACGGATCCGTAATATGTGGTAATCTTAGACAAGAGTGGTCAAAGGCAAATAACTTCTTAATATCCTCCACTCGCATTGGCCATATAGCAAGATCGAACGGATCACGACTATATAGATGCGGACTTTCGTTTTTATGGTGATTTCACGACGACTCCACAAAGGTTACGTCAACCGGAAGAACGCATTTCTAGCTGCCGTGATCCGAGTTGTAATATCATCTTTTGCCTGTCCATTTGGTATTAGAGTGGACCCAAGGTATTTGAAATCGGGCACTTCCTCAACTGGCAATGAATTTATAAAAAGAGGCATTTTATCAGTTAGCTTCTTGCATATAAGACGAAAAGACTTTCGTTTTATTTACTTTGATCCTGAGTCCGATTCTTGCTGCAGTTTCTGATATTATTTAGTATTACTTGCATTTCGTTATAATTGTCAGCAAAAAAGATTATAAGAAAAGGATCATCAGCGTATTCAAGATCTGTGATACGATGTTCTGGACTAATTCGGAACCTCTTGA